GGCGTCAGCAGAGGAGCCGGTTTGCTCCTTCTGCAAGGATTCTCGCTCTTCTGGTAACAGAGGATCAATTCCAGGCTTTTTCGGAGGGATGGTTTCATCCTTTCTGACCTTCGTCATGTTGACCTTGATGAGTCGAGTCCCAAGATCAAGTCCTATCATTGCTCCTTCAATGGAAATAACCTTTCCCTTTAGCCATATTCCTCCCTTGCTTCCATCGGAACGGATCTTGGGTTTGTCTTCCTGCCAGTAGAATACCTTGTCCTTCACCTGAAGAGGCTTAGAACTCGTTCGGAGATTTTGAGCAAGGTCTCGTCGGATGTCTTCGGATTGACTTGCTTGGACAGCTGCTTGATCTGGATGGCTGTCAACTCTTCTTCGTTCCTGTCAATCGTCAACTGAGTTGGTGTCGCGGCATCGAGTTGGATGAGATCTGCTGGTCGTCTTCCGAATGCGAGCTCCAATGGTGTTACACCCCCGTAGATGACGGTCTGATTCCTGACAGTTGCAGCGGCCTTCACTAGCTGCCTGTGTGTCACTTTCTTCAGTGTTGCAGGTGCTGTACCTGCCTTGATGGAACTTAGCATGATCTTGAGCTGTGCCTTCAGGAGTCGAACTGCTGCTTCAGCTCGATTGGCCATGGTGTATTTGGTCCCAAGGATATCGGTGTGATGTCGAGGGACGATAGAAATGTTCCCATGTATCTGTCATGAAGGCTTGATCTGCGACAACTGATTTGGGCTGCAAGTGGTACTGGTCAAAATCGTTCCTGAGGACAGTGATGTTCTCAACTTCTTGCGTAGTTGTCACTGCCTCTGCAGTGAGCAATGTTGTTGCTCCATCCAGGATGACAAAGACAATGATGTGTTCTCCCGTTCCAAGAGGAACTTGACAGTGATCAAGTGCGCGGGTTCTAAATCGCAATTGATCTGTTGTCATGTGATGATGCTGTAGGTGGAGCTTCTTCAACTCTCTCTTCGGGATTTGATAGTCGCTTGTGGATTCTGCCTAGGGCAAGCGGAAGCGATGTTGGTTCTTCTGAGGATGGTGCGAAAGGATCTGGCTCAATAGTCGGCCGGCCCCTCTTGTCGATGATCCTGTCTGCTGCCGATCCTGAACCTGCTTCTTCGTCCTTAAGCGAATTGTCCGCGAAGGTGAAAATGGTCTTACCTATCCACAGGTTAATCATCGGTTTATTTGCCTGGGGTGTAAGTCTCCAATTGTCTTCTAGGATGTCTGGATCTCCACCTACGGATGCATTAATGATTTCCGTAGTACGTTCTCGGCTAGTGTGATCAGGATTGATTGGACACTCCTTGGCTCCATTTCGTGTGAACAGCGCCTTCCAGGGCGTGATGTGCACACGGATGAGCTGCTTGTTCTTCTTGTCCAGGATCCAATGGTCCTGCTTTTGAGACCCAATGATCTTAGGAGTTGCTAGGTCCTCCTTTGTCTCGGATGATTTTGCTGCACAAACAGTTTCACTCTTGGTGAGATCCCCGGAGGGAAACTTGATGCTGTTATCATCGTCATAGACATAGTTGGTGAGGCCCTTGTGAGCAATTTCTCCATGCGCCTTCACTCTTGCAACTCCAGCGAGGTCGACGAGCGCATGTCCTGTACCGGATACTGGAACTGCTTGACGGTTCATGCCAAAGGCTTTGCATGTTGAGGTGTGTGCTCGATGGTCATGTAGAGGTTCCGCATCTGACTGATGCTGAGGAGGATCGGTACATTTCCTTGTTCAAGGACGTCGATGTTGGTACTGCATGGAGGAGTTGTGTGATATCGAAGTTGCAGGGTCCAATTTACCCTGGCGGTCTCTCCGTTTGCAAAAGTGAACTTGGTCTCGGCCGGGATGTACTGATAGGAGACGATGTCCTTCATTGGTTTGATGGCCAGAGTAAAACGCTGGATTGCATGCCAGCTGCCCATAGATCTGGTACATCCATTGTCCAGAATCGCATAGGTCGGGTTGTGCTGAGGGTTGATGACAGGCGCCATCAGCTTTGTTGCCAGAAGGCTGTGATTTGTTGTTACGGACAGATTGTATCTGATTGGATCAGCTTCCCGTGGATGGCCTTTTTCTCAGGATGCTCATACGCATCATGGAATGCCATTAACGCTTGTCCTGTGCTGGATGTCTCATGGGATGAGTGCCAGCCATGTTCGCTCCATGTCCATGATTGATCCCAGTCTTGGTCTGTCCAACCAACATAGGTAGGCTCTATGGATGGTGCAGTCTGCTGGATGGCTGCTCCTCCATCTTCTCTGCGGTGGCTGCGAACGTCTTGGGTTTTCCTTTTTCCTGTCCGCTCTTTCCTTTGCCACTCTCATAGGATGGATAGCCTTTGTTTCCATCATAGGGATATTGGAATTGTGATTTTCCTTTCTTTCCCTTCTTTCCTTTGCCTTTTCCCCAATATGCCTGGTCGTAGGGATCATAGTTTTCGTTTGCCATATTGGCCTTTCCGCCAGAACCGCTTTTTCTGAAGGGTTTGAAGCCGCCTCGTTGGTGACTGCCCTTTTTGTTTCCTGATTTTCCTTTTCCTTTTCTCCTTGAACTTGAAGTTCCGCCCCGACACTTTTCTTGCTATGAACGCATCGTTCTCCTCGAGGACCCAGAACGTCTCTTCATCGTTGTTAGACATAAATCCTCCAAGTCCTTCTTCATCCTCAACCCAGAAGCCTTCTTCTCCTTCGTATTCACCTTGTTCGATGATGAAGAATGTGTTGCTTCGGTTGCCTCCTTGAGGTCGGATGGATGGATCTTGGATGGATGTCCTTGTCGTGATGAAGAGTTCATGGTAGTGCGTCTTCAGCATCTCATAGGAGCAGTTTTCTAGTGAGATGTTTCTCAATGACATTGCACTTGTCAGTCTCTCTCTTTGCTGATCTGACAGTTCACTCTGAATGATGAAAAACTGTGCAATGAGATTATCCCCGAAAGGGAAATGCGTCCCGCTGTCTGTCCTGCATTCCCGTGATGTGTTGTCTGAGGACTATTGGATCATCCTCATTGAGCAGGGCTGGAGGCGGTGCTCGAACACCGGCTGCTTGTTGATGTCGAGCAATTGTTCTTGCATTTGCTTCCTGTACGGATTGTCGAAATGTTGGGGACTGCGCCGTAAAAATTGGCATCAAGTCCATCCATGCTGCCTTCAATCTCATAAGAAGGATTTCGATTTTGGAGGTAAAAATGAGGAACACGCTGGTCGCACCTTTCAGGAAGTACTTCTTCAGCGTGTTCTTGAAATAGTTGACTCCTTCATCAGGATCTTGCAGAAGGTCATTCTGGAGGACTGCCTTGTACATGTATGCATCACTGGTGACTCTGCTCTTCAGCAGAGGTCCTCTCTTGGATGCTTCCACTGTCGTAATTGTTACCCAGTCGTCCACGAGTTCTTCATACCTGAACCAGCTGACTTTTCCGTCGTACGATGGCGGCTGCTTGGCGGTCATCGACAAATTGAGTGTTTCCTCCGTATAGCCTTGTGGCTTTGCCATACTTGAATAGGCTTCCATGAAACCTTCTCCATCGGATGACATCTTCCCTTGGATCTCTGCGGAAAATTCGCTCCGCTACCACAAATTGAGGCCCACTGCCGGGGTACCTATCCCAGAAGGGAACTGGTACCTTTGTGGTAGTAGAGGTTATTCCGGAGAGAATCCAATATGCCACTATGGATGATTGGAGGATGGATCGTCCCTGGTGGATTGTCTTGTGGATAATCCTGTAAGCGGCCTGCAAAGGTTCTTTTGCTTCACGCGATCATGTATGATGCAATGTAACACAAAAGGGGCCTTGAGCCAAATGTTGCAGGAGATCAAGTGTTCAGTAAACCAAACACAGGGGGGAATTCACCGCATGATGATTGAAACAGTGATGATTCAATTCAAGGCGAGGGGGACAGGGGGGGCGGCAGCCCCCCCCATGATGATCGAACAAGTGATGATAAAAATAGGCGTGTATATTAATCGAAAAGGGGATGGCGGGGGGCGCCAGAGAGGAACTTGCGATGCTGAGGATGCAGGAAGCCAAGGCCAAAAACCAACCGGGAAAGCAGAAAAGCCAAAGCCAGAAAGCCGCCAAAAGCCACAAAGCCAAAAAGCCACCTGCCGCAGCGGAACTGGCAATGCAGAGGATGCGAAAAGAGAGGAACTTTGAATGCAGAGGATGCAAAATGAAAATCCACACAAGCCACAAAAACCCACGTAAAAGCCACAAAAGCCAAAAAGCCGAAAAGCCACCCACCCTGAAAAAAAACTTAAAAACAAAAAGCAACGAAACAAAATCCTAAAAAAAATGGCCCTCCAAGATCAAAACACACACCAAGCCATGAATTTGCGCGGGAGTGGGGAGAGGGCAATGTTCTGCATTTCGAAGGTGTAGGATGCTGGCTCTGTAGTCACGCTCTCCTTTAACTGGAACGGGCTCCAAACAATCTTGACGTTACGCTTCGCTACTAAGACCCAAGTTGTCCAAGCGCAGCTGCAACAACAGAAATGACAAATGAGCTCGCGCGCGCGACATACATACTCTAGCGCGCGCATCTTGCGCTGGGGCAGGTGCATACACACGGTCGCTCTAAAGTGCAAACATCAGATTCTTGGTGGTTTGCTCGGGCGCAGACACGGAAGGAGGCATGCAAAGGACAGTATGCTCAACTTGCAGCACAAGCAGCATGTGTGATACAAGTATCTCTAGCGGCTAAAGTGAAAGTTGCATTATGCCAAGCACTGATGTGAACGGTCTTGGCGGCGTAACTGTTGCAATCGGCCAAACTCCATGCGCGACATGGCTCCAAAGTCTCCCAGACGTCTCCACGTGTTACAAGGAAGCGGCCCGCAAAAATGTGAGCGTGCAAGCCTGCCTCCAGGAAACTTCAGCCAAATATGTTGCAACAATTTGAGTCTCCTTCGCAGACTCCGCGGGTAGTTCGTGGGCATAAACGAATTTGAGCAACTCTGTTTTGGCCGTTTGCAAGCACATGCTGCCCAGCCTTCACAGTCTCTCCTTGGCAACCCGCATATCCTGCAATTCCTTGGCAGCTCAGCTCATTGCTAAACATTGACGGCATACATGACATCAAATCATTTCAGGACTCTGATCTCTTGCTTCGCAATGCGCTTTGTGGTGCGCCCGGTCACCCACAAACAGCTGGGTCTCGGCAAGCTCAGTCACCCTTCAGGCGGCTAATAACCACCCGACCGGAAAACTCAGTAGCGCTCCTATGTGGAGAAGCATTGCCTTTGCTGCGGCCTGGCAACAAACAGGCCACGTGCGCCTTGCTGCAACAACTGGACCACGTTGGGATTCAGAATGCGTTGGACCGAAAGCAGTGCGTCAAAGAATGCATTCAAGCTGAGTCTCAGCTAACAGGGCATCCGGCCAGCGCCGGCAAAGCTATGCCCATGAACCTTTCCCGAGTGTCGAATGAGGGCCTTGATGAAAACATAGAGAAACACTGCAATCTCACCAACAAAACAAGGCAAGCCAGGCGGTCCGCGCCTGCCAAAGGCCCTTGTGGCTCACGTTGAGCACCATGACAGCCACCTCCTCTACGCAGCTGTACCTGGACAGCAAAAAGCGTTCCTTTGGGATTCGTTTGGCCGACAAGCGCCCCACGCGAACTAACACTAAGCAAGCCAAACAAGTGCCATGAGAGAACGGTCAAAATGTGGCGATGGCCAATGACAAATCAAGCGTTGGCGATACGTCGCGCCCGCGAATTGAAAGAGTATTGACAAGCCTGGGGCATTCTTCTGTCGAGGACATATTGCAACCAACAAGTTTGTAAATCCGGCTAGGGATCGGCCCCAAAGAATTCTGAACCCGGCCACACCAAGCTAAGTTTCTGAAAGTTTCTGACATAATCTATTGACCGGGTCCGGGAAAGCTTTCTGAATCGGGCCAGACAGATCTTGATTCCTAGTTTCCGAATCAAATGTTTCGGATTCGGAACTCGGTTGACAAAGGTCGACGCTGGAAAGTGCAAAGGAGAAAACATCCGCAAACTTCTCAGCAAAACAATGAAGCAAGACCGACGGCGCACTCGAACAGGTTCGCGCCTGAGATGCCACATCCCTTCGCTCTCGAACTTTGACAGGCTTTAAACAAGGTGCAAAAAGGGCTTCACCACGACAAACATGCCATTCAAGAACCTCAAAAAATCGAGGGCAAAAAGAAGCATGGCACTTGTCAAGGTTGCAAATTACTACGTGGTGGAGCGACCATATCCATCCCCCAGGAAAGGCGGAATGGCAATCAAAAATCATGCTTCCCAACAACGGTGTTCACTGTGGTGCATTCACACGCTGCGGCTGTGAAAACGCATTCTGCGGAGGGCCTGATTGGGAGAGGATCCTGGCTTTTCCTTCTGGAGCCTACAGATGACGCGGCAGTTGGACTACTCTCAGCAGCAGTAAAACGCATCAAGTGCAATTTGGTTTTGTTTGGCCTGTGTTTGCTGGCAAAGTACATTCCACGAGGCAATAAAACTTAGCAGCACAGTTTTCACTTGCCAAATGACGAATTAGTGGCTTGCCCCCTTAAGGGTTCAATCAGGAAGCAAAGGTGCAAGGTGTGGGTGCAGGCCAACTAAGTCAAGTCGAAGCAGAGATGGCGCCACTGGCCCCAGCATCCCCAAAAAGGGTGACATGACTGATAGACCAAACGAACCGATGGTGATGGATCGGATTCGGAGTGTGGGATCCAACAGGCCAGCAAGCAGAACCCATGGCACGAGGGAGCCGGAGGCTCTTGAAGGGGAAGCTGACATTCACGAGGCACGCCAGAAGGGCGCTCCCGAGCCCGAGAGTGACAAAGCGAGCGATCGCGGCGCGACACAAAGCCGCGCGCCGGTGTCTGCGCAACGCCAATCGTTGCGCAGCCCGTCGCAAAGGATTTAAGAGAAGTGATGCTGCTGCCTCCGCCGCCCAGCTCACTCCCAAGTCGCAGTGAAAGCTGAGGCAACGGCCATGTGTCAGCTCTTGCCATCTCTCGCGAAGCCAGGTATTCCTGAGGAAGGCTGGAGCATCAGCCATGGAGATGCACAACTAAATTCAAACGATCTAGTTTTGAGACAAGTTTTCCACGTACCCAACAACTAGCGCATCAGCGGTGTCACTGTGTTCCATGTGCATGCAGGCTTGGTCCCAGCAAATCTTTGAAACCGGCAATGTTCCACTTGTGTGCACGCTGTTCCACCCTCTGGTAGTACTCAATTTGACTCTCTCTCTATCTCTCTCTCTCTCTCTCCCTCTGTTGTCAAGCACGCTTAACTTTCCGGTTCCGTTTGAATGCGGGCTGCGATGAATGTCGTTGTTTCCTTGGCGCTTGAGGACACTTTTTGGACATGTTGGGGAGGCACCATGGCCAACATCCTCAAGTTCACTCAAGTTGGCAACCAAGCATGGAGCCTAAGCCCTGCAACATGTACTGTCCTGCTCTGACCTCTCTCTCTCTCTCTCGCTCTTTTTCTCTCTCTGCGACTTCAGAGAGAGAGAGAGAGAGAGAGAGAGAGACAAAAAAAAAAGAGAGAGAGAGAGTGATTTGAGCCTTTCCTCTGCACTTGGCCAAGTGTCTGCAGCTCATCCTTGCCCCAGCCCAAAGCCTGCGACGCGCGCTGCACACGTTTAGGAGTCAGTTTCCATTGGATGCTTCACGCTCAGGTGGAACAGAGCCTGTCAAGGGCGAGTCATTTTCACCAAAGACGCACTTCATAAGCAGCACCTGATCTGCCGCGTCTAGCAAAGCCTTCCATGAAAACAAGCTCAGAAAATCAACAGGCGTTAAAGCGTACGCGCATCGTAGAGAGGGAGCAGAGACGTGTTCAGAGGTGGCTTAGTAGCGATAGGCTGGCGCAACGGCTTAGCGGCAATGCCTATCGTTCGCCTAGGCTTCAAATTCTCATGGAATCTCATGGAGCACGCCTCCATTGTTTCCAATTCCTTGAGCCAGGAGTTTCCCAGTGGCTGTAGGACATGAGAGCGTGTGACTTGCACCCTGGCACGCCAAGGGAAAGAAAACGCGGTCGCCCAACTCTGGTTACACATCGACGCCTGAGTCGAGCTGTTGTTCATCATTGCATTCTGGGGAATCAAAACATATTGAGTCAGATCAGCGTATGCTGTCCATTTGCCTTGAGTGGAGCCTCAGCCAGTTTGCAGCTCCACGCGTGGCACCTGGTTTATGCGCCAACAGGACGGCCTCCAACACGTCGAGCAGCATGTTGTAGGAGAAGAAGGCTTTGGGCTCGCTGTCCCTAGCATATTCTATCGTGGCTGGACCAGAGAGTTGCGACAACATCCGTGTTCAAACTGTTGGCGGACTGTCTCCGTTAAGCCTTGCTAAGCAACTCCAAGTTGCTTGAAGATGCAATGTGCCACGCTCACCCAACTCATTGCCCGTCGGAGTTGTGATTGCACAAAAAAACGCATTCCATTGGCTTAAGTGTGATTTCCCCCTCTTGGTGTTAAAGGGATTCTATCACTACTGGGCGGAGAAAAAAAAAGGAGAAAAAAACAAATGAGGGAAGATTGGATCATCTGCTTGGCAAGCGCAGATGGGTTTCTCGGATCACCCCAATTTTTGCTTGTGAAAAACTAAGGCTGCTGACATACCCAAAGACACCTTCTCCTCAAGCAAGCAGCTACTCCTGCGTCAACGTGAAAGATGCCACGGCCCGTCTTGAAGCGGTTGCTGTGACAGCGTGAAACAAAATCAAAGCTCTCACAGGGCACAGAGCTACCAGGGTTCGCGCAAGGTTAGGACTTGGTCGGTACTGAACTTGCTAGCTCAGCCCCAGCTCAACTCCTCACTGCCTGGATGAGCTTCTTTGGGCTCAGCTCCACACCATGCAGCCTCAGCGCTAAACAAATGCTCGCGGAAAGAAGTCTGACGCTTAAGGCTTGGGTGCCAACATGGCCCAGTGTTTCTTCGCTTGAATTGTAGAATGGACCTTAGTCTGCGGGAAGAGAGTAATTACGTTGCGTTGCCATGACGATGCACAGAACTCTGAGCAGTGCATTTCTTCACTTGTTGCTACGAAGGTCATGCGCTAGCATTCTGCAGTGGGCGAGGACACCTTGATAACATCAGGGTGGATCTACTGCAGGTTCCCCATTCAGCGCCGCTACTGCGGTTCTGTGCAAAACCGCTCACAAAGAGCGACCTGAATGCGCTGCGACACATTCCTCGCACTTGCGGAAGTGACAGCTAGAACCTATCGTGGAGCTACGTGCTTGCGTGTGGTTCTGCTTGATTGATCATGGATGTTCAACTGGTCCAAGCATACTTGCATGGCAACGCGGCATTCGTGGAGTTGAGTCAAAATGCAAAGGACTCTGAACGCTTGGCAACCCGCTCAGGCCTTCCTTCGAACTCCTCAGGCAACTGGCCAAAGTTGTCACTTGGATGAAAACTTTGAAGAGCGCTCTTCGCGATGGGGTATAAAACTACCTCAACACACTTCAGCTCCCTTGCCGCTGTCCCGGTACGTCCTTGCAGGCAAGTCACTGAGAATCAATCTCACGCTGCAAAACAAATCGCACCTGCCATCAAGTGAAGCAAAACACACGCATACACGCACGCACACACACACACACGCACACAGACACACAGACACACAGACACACAGACACACAGACACACAGACACACACACACAGACACACACAGACACACAGACACACAGACACACAGACACACAGACACACAGACACACAGACACACAGACACACAGACACACAGACACACAGACAGACACAGACAGACAGACAGACAGACACAGACAGACAGACAGACAGACAGACAGACAGACACAGACAGACAGACAGACAGACACACAGACAGACACACAGACAGACACACAGACACACAGACACACAGACAGACACACAGACAGACACACAGACAGACACACAGACAGACACACAGACAGACACACAGACAGACACACAGACAGACACACAGACAGACACACAGACAGACACACAGACAGACAGACACACAGACAGACACACAGACAGACACACAGACAGACACACAGACAGACACACAGACAGACACACAGACAGACACACAGACAGACACACAGACAGACACACACAGACACACACAGACACACACAGACACACACAGACACACAGACACACAGACACACAGACACACAGACACACAGACACACAGACACACAGACACACAGACACACAGACACACACACACACACACGCACTTGACTTTTGAGGTGCTTGGCTTCGCCTCATGCCATTCACGCGCGCGCAAGCACGCTCCCTTTTCTTTTATTTTCGCCATGCTAGTGTCCTTCCTTGATTTCCTGATTTCTTTTGCGTTTCCTTCCAAAAACCTTTCTGGGGTTGTTTATTAGTTGTCTAACCGCGAGGGAGCGAGGATCGGCAGGGGTTCGGCCTGAAGTGTACCATGTTTGCAGCATGCCGTGTAAACGCCACTGGCCGGGAAATTCCCGAACAGGCGGCCTGCCGGCTGAATTGCCGGCAAGAACGCGACCGGTCTCAAGTGCGCTGAGCTTACTGCATTCCGCAGGGCCGAGTTTGCAGCATACCGCGCAAGCGCCGCCAAGAACGTGACCGGCCTCAAGTGTGCCGAGCTTTGCCGAGTTTACCGCGTGCCGCAGGTGGTCGGGCTTCAAGAGACCGAGTTTGCAGCATACCGTGCAAGCGCCGCTGGCGGGGCCAGCTTGCCGGCTGAATTGCCGGGACGACCTTGACTGTCGGTGAGTGCGCCGGCTGAATTGCAACCAGCGCCGAGGTAACGGGAGGTGCTGGAGGCTGCGAGCGGCTTGCCAGCTGATTGCCGGGACGACCTCGGTGACTGTGCCGGCTGAATTGCAAGCAGCGCCGAGGTGATGGAAGGCGCTGGACAGCGTGCGGGTGGCATTTGGTCCACAGAGGCGGAGGGGATTTGGCTGGGCAGAGGCGGCAAGGATGGAGGTGACGGCGGCGTCAGTGGGATTTGCTTCCGCGGATGCAGCCAGCGCAGAGGTGACGGGAGCCGGTCGGATTTGGCCCCACAGAGGCGCAGCGATACCGAGGCGCGGTCGTTCGTGCGCCGGTGGGATTTGGCTCCAGGAAAGCAGCGAGAATGAGCTGGGGTCATCCGTGCGCCGGTGGGATTTGGATTGGCGGAGGCGGAGGTGACGGCGGCGTGCGCTGGTGGGGTTTGCTTCTGCAGATGCAACCAGCGCCGAGGTGACGGGAGGCGGTGGGCGCGCCGGTGGGATTTGGCCCACAGAGGCACAGCGATAACGAGGCGCAGTCGCTTGCGGGAGGACGGCGTGATTGACGAGGGCACTAAGCCTGTCAATGTGTAACGAAGCAACGTAGGCAGAGTACTGACAACGAAAGTTCAACATAAAGTGCTCTGACGGCAACCGAGTGACTACCGTCTGCAAGAGCAGCAAGCCGGCGACCCACAGTACGCATACCTTGAGTGGCAGCAGCGATTAGGGGGGTATCCCCCTGACTCGGCGCCACCCCTCGGGCACAAGGCGAAACGCCCACGCAGGATGAGACCAAGTTGAGTGGTGTGGGCGCTTAACACGTGCAAGCACCCTGAGTTGAAGGTCTGAGCTGCAATGATTTCGGGCCTTTGTTTTCACCCGCGTGAATTTCATCCAACGCTGGCAAGATCAGGCAAGCCTGTTTGCGCCGCGCGCACCGCGCGCGCGCCTTCCGATGTGCTCAACATCACATGGAAAGGCGAGCGCCGCGCGCGCGAGCAGGCCCCCGTTGCCTCTGAACCACCTCGTAGCCCAAAAACATTGCAAGCAAATACGGAGAAGCGAGCCAGAATGTTGGTTTCCTTAAAGACAAAGCGAACGCGCATGTTCGCACGAAGTGATGCCCTTCGGACAAGTGCTTGGGAGACGCCGCTTTGCCGAATACAACCCGCAAGAAGCTCCGAGAAAAGGTGACAAACCATGGCTTGTTGCAACGATGTAGTTTCGACTGCCGCGTCCTGGATTCACATTTCTCTTGCTTGCCCTCAAGGGGCCATAGCAAAAAGGCACAATCCACGCAGCAGCAATAGCAGCATTGTCGGTCTGCCAGTGTCGCCCACAAGCTCCTGCCTGCAAACTGCTTGGGCAAGCAGTTCGCTGACAGTCATTCACAAATATTTGTTCGCATCTTGGTTTTTGGGTTCCCCGGCTCTCCTTGTCTTCGTTCCCTAAACCATTTACTGTTGGGGTTCTTCCTCTTCTACACAAGAACATGCTTGTTTCGTGGCATGCGCAGCGCAACAGCACGTTATGCTCAGAAAATGATGCCCCGCTGTATTGCGAAACGCTCATGTGTAACGTGGTGGTCTTTTCATGCTCGCCAGTGCTCGCATGTATTTTCTTTCTCAATATGTATGTGCCTTCATTTGACTCCCAGCGCTGCCGGATCGCTGGGCCGCGTGCTCGCGAGTGTGCGCATTTACTTGTCTCCCAGTATGGGCCTTTATTCGTCTCTCGTGCGCATGTACTTGTCTCCCATTGCATGCCTTCATTCGTCTCTTGGTTCTGCCACATGCTGCATGTTTGCTAGTGTGCGCATTTACTTGCCTTCCATGTTTCTCGTTGGCCCAACAGTGTGATCACTGTCGGCGCACACAAGCGTTCCTTCTTGGCGCGCAAACGTGTTCGCCGTCGGCGCAGAAAGGTTTCCGTTGCCGGCGCACAAGTGTGTTCACTGCGGGCGCACACATGCATCATTGTGTTCCTACGATCTGTTTGGGGTCTACGCTGGAATATGTGTCTCTTTCTTTCCTTTGTTTTGTCTGCTTGTTTGTTTGTCTGTTTGTTTGAATGTTTGCTTGCGTGTCACTGCCAGTTGAACTTGCATTGTAGCTCTGCAAAGGCGACCTCTATAGGAGACACAGCTTCAGGTTGCCCAATCGCCTGCTCAATCATTAGCTCCTCACTGTCCAACAGCTGGCCTGCGAGCCCAAAGCATTCGGAAGCCTGCCTTTCTTTCTGATTGTCATCACGTGTCACAAGAAACGCCTACAGGCAAATGTCAAACAAATGTCAAACAAATCAGTCAGTCATGCCCTGCACAGCGTCTGGTCTAAATCAGACACTGGAGGCATGCCTTCACGGATGCCTCTGGTGAGGAAGCAGGTGGAAGGTGCTTGAGCGGGAGCAGGTTCCAAAAGCGCTTACGCGAGCGCTTAGGCGCACCTTGCGAGCTCGTTGGACTTTCTTGTCTGACAACATACGCCTGTCTACGAAGGCCTGCGCCATCCTATCCCGCACAAGGTTTGCTCGCGCAGCGCCTCCCTGACATACGAGTTACCCGAATGATTACTAAACGAACACATAGCCAAAGAAGAGTTTGGCCATTTCAGGAGGTCTCTTGAGCATTGCGTGTACCTCAGGCTCTGAACATGGCCTTGAGAATGCTATCCCACCTTTGAGAAACCCCTTGCTGATTACTTCATGTCTTTCCGTCCGTCATGAATCTCAGTATTCAGTCAGCCTCCCTGGCACAGTCGCGAGTTGTTTGACATGCAACACACCAGTGGACACTGCCATAGCGCTGCTTGGCTTGACGCATTTCAAAAAGGGAAAAGGAATGTCCATCTAGGCTGAATATCCTCAACGCCTCCAACCACCTACGACATGTGGGACTTGGCAAGCTCGCGCTCGCGCAACAACTTTCCATGAGTCGCAGCGTAAGCCCTCTGAGCTGCTGGCAGTCAACAAAGATCTGCAGCGGATCCTCCCTGGCAAAGAAACCAAACCACTTCTGCAACATCTGGTTGCGCGCTCTTTTCAGTGAGGAATGCAAAATATTTGATGAGGTCTTCGCGCTGAGCCCGCAAATAATATTGATTCAAAACAAATGACACGTCCACCAACATCAAAGGCGCCATCCCGAACGTGAAGAGAGAGAGAGAGAGAGAGAGATAGTGCAGAGTGCAGAGTGCAGAGTGCAGAGTGCGAAGTGCGAAGTGCAGTGCAGAGTGCAGAGTGCAAGGTGTTCTCAACTTGTGGCCAAATTTAAAACGCGTTTCGCTGCAGTTTTCTTTCGACTGAAATCATCTGGAAGGTGCGGGAGTGAGCTACACAAAGATGGCTTGACTCATTGACCCAAAGGATGTGAAGACTGCCAGTGTCGAGGCGCGTTGCTGACTGGTAATTTGCTATGTTTTTGACCAATGATGGCTTTATGCTACGCTGTTTTGCGGTTGTTTTTATGGGTCAGGCCTGGCAATTTGCCTGCCCACGCTGCCTTGGTGCAGTGGACAAGCACTCGCGTAGGTATTGCTGGTAGTGTCGCGTACTTCGCACGAATTGCTGGTTGTGTTGTGTGCTAGTCGTGCAACTGGTGGTCCAGGCTGATTGGTCGTCTGTCCTATATTTTGGTCATCTCACTTTCTGTCGAGCGCTGCCTCAACAAAACGTAGCCTTTGCATCTGCCTTTGTTCCTTGAGCGGGAAGAAGCCAAATGAATTACCGAGTTAGCGAGCAAGTGGGTAACAACATGGGTTCAACGTAGTTTTGCCTTTCTGGTCGGAAAATCGCTCTAAAATAGCCTGAGTGGCCTGCACTGCTATGATTCCGACGCTGCCCTGACCACTGCGATTCCGCCTGTATTTGGCGTCAAAGTTTGAGTAGGCCAGCTTGTAGGCAATCTTGGCACGCTCCGGTGCTGTTGAGCACAAAGAAAGATTCGCCAACATGGCTTGGCTTTGCAGGCTCACCTTTCAACGCCCACCAACATGCCCTTCCCCAGTCATCCGAAAGCACAGCTGGGTCTGTAGCCCGTTCCATGCGTGCGACGGCACCTTTCTGCGCAACCGGCGAGATCTCATGCTCCACAGCATTGATGACAACCTGGGCTGTGCGCAAGAAGGTTATGAGTCACAACAGCGCAGCACAAAAGCGCAGAACAGAAAGATCCTGGGCACGCTTGAGTTGAATTGGGTGCTTCATCCGCCACAAGTTGATACAACAGGTGGGCTGTTTGAAGCATGATGCTAAAAGGCTCTTGCGCACGCGCTGCAGTGCACTCAGCGCTCTTCAAACACTTGATGAGCTGCCCTCAGGTTAAAACCTCTCGCCCTTTGCTTGCAGCTTTGGCGGCTCGCTGCATGGTGTGCGTCAAGAAGTTCTCTGCCTGCTCGCTGATGTGACGCCAGTCCAGGCAGTCTGAGAGGCACCTGAACTGGCCCATTCAACGCACCAAACCGGGACCAAACCATTCATGGATACATCATGGATACATCATGGATTGGTTTGACGCTTGCTCAAAGGAAGCAGTCTGGCAAGTCACGCATTGGCGCAGCCCTTTGTGGGCGCACAGCAGCTGAGATATAAAGGACGCGCGATCAGCTCACCTGCCGTTGCTCTGCTTTGGCGCTGCAACCGGCTGCAACGACTGGAGGAAATGAGACAAATTCTTGAGCTGTTTCCCAATCACCGCGAACACTGCGACCTGAGGCAGGGCACGATGCCATTATGCTGTCCATCTTCTCCATCTCCTGGCTTGAGTGTGGCTGTTCTGATTAGGCGTGCTGATTGAAACATCGTCTCGACAAGGATGACTTTCCAGCAAATAGAGATTCGTCAACAAGGATGGCATTCCAAAGACATGACAGTTCAGCGTTACCAAACGCTGCTCTGTGCCTTGGGGCTAGTACAGCAGCTTGTCATCCCACGGGAATGACACGCTAAAGTCGGCTCATTATTAAGGGGGGTAAGGGGGGGTTGGTTTGTACTTAGCACTTGGCTGGCGCAATCTACGTGGTTCAAGGGTATTCAAGGACGCGGCATGCTCCAACGCCCATCGCCCCACCTCGTTCTGCAGCAAAAGAAGCAAGGCCAAAACGCTCGGCTCTGCCGAGTCTGCCAGCTCTTTGCCATGTGCCCGAGGCAAAAAGTGGCTGAACCTGGGCGCGACGACAGGACATTGAGCTTAGAGTTGCAGGGTGGCCCATGTTGTCGCATGGGTTCCACGAAATCGAAGGGACAGAAACACCAACAGCCAAACGCGCTCTATTGATCTGAAGGCATACGTACACACATTGGAGGGATCAGCTTTGGACAACGCACAACATCACTTCAGCTAACACTATAGATCACACAGCTCTCATCAGGCTTGCTTGAATAACAATGGTTCCAGTTTTGCCATGAGCAGTGCTTTGGAATGGTCATTGCCTGCGGGGCGCATCTCTCTTCCGAACTCAAGCATCAGGCAAGCAGTCCTCCCGCGCATCGGCTATGAGGGAGGCCAAGGTGGAAGCCTGTCGAAAACTCCACGCTGAGGTCGACGTGGACGTAAAACATACTCTGAAATTCTCAAGGGCTCACCCAAGGCCGAAGCTACAGTACTTCTGCAGTCTATGTTAAGCTTAGCTCTCAGCGATATGTTTCGCATGCATTAGTTGAACCTCGCGTCGCAGTCGAAAGATAGGGGCATCATGGGGACTGTGAAGAGTTCCAGCCTGACACAGCATGTTGATGGTTGTGGTTCAAAACGCCTACTGCACCACATCCTACAAGTTGCCATGCGCCATCCCCAATGAAACTGTTCGACTTCCTCTAAGCCAGAGGATATCTCTCTTCTCTCCAGTCTACTAGGTCCACCGGCGGAGCTGGAGTGGTTCGCTGCTGATTCGCCTTCCATGCCGATTGCTGATCAGTTCGGGCCAACCGACAGTTGCCCAACATGTCTCTTGTTTGGTCAGGCGTGCTACGCCGTGCGTAGTCAAGAAACTGGCGCAAGCCCAAGGAGCTCAAGGAAAAGTACACACGAGAGTGGGGTGGGGCACGGTCAGGACCCATTGCCAACTCAACGGCTTGGAGCATCCGCTTCCATGTTGAGAATTGCTTGGATAGGTCTATAATCTGACCATAGTACGCAAGGCACATGATCTAGGCCAACCAAGCAGCCAACCAGTGAGGCAGCCAGGCAGCCAGGCAGCCAGGCAGCCAGGCAGCCGACCAGCTAGCCAACAAGCCAGCCAAAGCTACCCGAACAGCCAGCGTCTTCCAGAGCATTCTGTCAAGCGGCTCAGGCGTTTCAGCGTCACAACGTTGTCGAAGCATTGTAGGATGACTCTGACCTGGAGCCCAGCACTTGGAAACTTGACGTTCGGCTACCCGCAGCCTTGTTACGCTTTCATGACTACCCTGGTGCCACTAGTACTGCATCACACCTACCGGGCCATCGAACCTGTGGCAGCCCTGCGTTCAGCGAACACTTAACACAGCTCGTTGCGATCCAAGCCGAGTGAAGGCTGTTTGATCGCTGATTTAACCTTACCTTATCTCACCCGAAACCACCACCAGTATTGCTAACACCACACGTACTCCTTGATGAGGCAGATATCACTGCTACCGCAAGAGCAGAGCCCTCATCGTCTGGGCTTCCTGGCCGTGTCCGGGTGAAGGTCCAGACTCTTTGAAAGGTGGCGGACCTGGCGACACAGACTCTTGCACGCCGCGCGCAATGCCAAGCATCCTGGCAAACGGATTTCTTCACACCGCAACTTCCGCACTACGCCGCAAACCAAAATACGATTTACTGCTCAAGCCAGCCCCCGCTCGTCATACGGTGCTGCCATGCCCGTCGCAGCCTTCCTTGCTGATTCGGATGACTCACCGGATTGGTCCTGCGCTGCTTCCACAAGCCGGCTGGCCCCGTTGCATTCAGAGCAATGACCAACCATGCACCTTGTGGCCCCAGTTTGGAGACAAGCGCAGGAATTGTTACGTGCAACACAAGGTGTGCGCATTGAATTGGTGGTCAGCTCCTGCAACAAAGCTGTTGGCGAATCATGCATGCACTGCGTTCAAGCCCCAAATAAATTTAGTGCCTCAATAGACCCTGCAGCCTGATTTGCGTTGCGTCGCTGGGTCCTGATGGGGACGTGCTTCCGGAGCCTGCGCTGCAGAATGATAGACCTTTACAAAGCGCCAAACGGAATGGAAACGAGAGTGGCACGCTGAGTCACAGAGCCCCACCCCAAAACAGACCCTTTAACATTCTCTTCGTGCCACACTATCGCAAACAGCGTCGCGCGACATTGCCCACCCAGCTCGCCGCCCAGGTTCCGCACCTGAAGCAGCTCGAGCTGGCCTCAGTTAAACCCCCGCTCGCGCGCTGCGCGACAAGAGTGGCTGAGGGGCTCGGGAATTGCGATGTGACACTTGACCGCAAGTCTAGTGGAGGGCTTAGAAATCACTCAGGGAATTGTTCATCAAGATGGACAACTTTGCTGCTCACCCAGCGTTGCTTTCGTCCCGAGCGCAATACTGGTACGCAGAACCAACACCGCTGTACCGCGCGGCATGTGCGCCGACCCGGCAAATGTAACTGAAGACCGACCATCGAACACTGTCTCGAAAAGTATAGTAGTCCTGAGCAGTTAAAGGACCAATGATATAGGAAACCCTTTCGTCCTTATTGACGAATGTCTCACAGCTCGTGGGAGACCCCTACGGCTGATAACCTGAGAAACCGAGGGTATGTATGTTGTATACCGGTGGTTTGGTTGTACCACCACCCGAAATGCCTGCATAGTACCCCAATACGATACCGCACACACAAGCACGATTTGTTTTCCATCGATATTGCTCCCGTAGGGAAGTGAACCACTAGATATGACTTGGGCCAAACGCCACGGTAGGTGGCGTGGTTCGGGGACTGCAAAAGTATTCACAGATTCAGTTGATGAAAAGGCAACTAGATATGGCAGAAGCGACTGAAGTCCATGTTGGAGCTGAGTCGTCCTGTGGCCCTGGACTAGGCCAACCGCTTGGATGTCTGCTTGAATGGTTTGAATGGAAGGAGGACCAATGGCATCCCTGCTTTGGCGCCAAATCAAGCATCTGCACAGAGCTTCCCCGGTCCAAATCCCATGAAACATGATGCGAGCCTCCACAACGGGCAACGCCTATGCTACTGTAGTTTACGCTTTCCTTCAAAAGACGTTGCTAGCGAAATAGACCGAAAAGGAGTGTGAGTGAGGTCCCCCGTTTTGTACAGGATTGTTGTATTTTCCCATATTCCGACCACCACCACATCATCATCATCATCATCATCATCCTCATAAGAGCGCCAGATTCCAAACCTCGAACCCGGGCAACTGTGGAAAGAAGACAAGCCCCTCAAACAAATTCAGAAATGCAACCACGCAGCGGAGGAACTTCTCTGTCTCCTCCCCTTCGCGTGCACTGCGCACCTCACTGTTGGCTCCTCCCCGCAGGCACATCTCCACTTTCGCGCTTTTGCTTTGATCTCTAGGACTTTTACTCAGCCACTCGAGTACCGGAGATGCACAGGAATCAGTTCAATGTCACAAGCACCCTCTATTCTGACCCCACAATGAAGTCCTGGTAAGCATCTCCTTCCAATTCCAATCAGCGTGGGAATAGAAACTGTTGAATAGGTTCATCTCAATCTGGGGGGCTGGGATAAAGGTAGCTTCTTGTTGCACGTTGAGGACGCGTGCCAGTTGACTTTGGGAGGAACTCTGAGCAGTGAAAACATGAGAAAAGCAAACACACTTCAGATTTGGTTGCAGTTGTTTAGTGGGCAAGTCAAACTGGGCGTCTTATCGCGAAGGCTTCTGGCCAGGCTTCCCGGCAAGGTTCACCATCTCCAGACGTTGGGGCTCCTCTTGCTTTGGCAAGATTCGCTGGACGTCCTGCGGTCAATTGAAGGGACGCTCGGACGCAGCTCGGATGCGACCAGGGGACCACGGAACCCAGCAAAAGGCAAAGCTGAGCCAAGACAAAGTTGAAAGGACTCTAAGGTGACAAAGTGACTAAACAAGGGATCCAAAGCAAACTCGACACATTCCCGCTGGCCACGCGACCCGCTCAAGACGTCTGAAAGTTGCACCAATCCGAAATGTGGAACAACTGAGACCCACGACTCACGACCTCCGACAGCATCCAACTCAGGCCACTGCAAGCCTCGGACGCTGGCAACTGGGAAAAACAGTTCGCACATAGTAAGAAACCCGCAACTAGTTTTTCGGGATCAAATCGCCAAGTTTGCAAAATCACGCGCAGTGCAACGTGCCAGTCCTGCTTCAGCTTCTCGAAAGCTTTCTTGTGTTCCTCAGCAGTACGCCTCAATGGCTGACACAGCTGAAGCAACCTTTGCAACCTTTAGCTTTCCTGCAGGATTCCTGACTCCAAAACAACTCTAGGCAAATGGTTGTGAAACTTGCTTGCCAACTTGCCCCCTGGAACTATGACTTCTGAAACTCAACTTCTCAACACAACAATTGAATCCACAATGGACTTTTGCGGGGGAATCGTCCATCTGAATGTCTTTCTCTGACATCTGAATACTAGTACAAAGATATCTTAGCACTTGTATTGAGATATCTTTATACAAGACGCTGGATCCAAGTTCAGGGATTGCTGAAAGGCTGTTGAGGGAAACCTTGGAATGCCCCTGTAACCTGAATACTTGTATGAAGAAATCTTTGCACTTCTGTTCAGGTCTCTTAACAACCGCTATCAAGGATTCTGGATTGGGGGACCTTTGAGGAAATGTTGGCCATGCCCGATAGGATTTCTAAGTACTGCAATTTAGACATCTTGATGCCGGCATCTGGATCCAGGATCCATCATTGTCGAGGGACTTTAGGGGGAAATCTTGCATCTTGGGCCCACATTCCCTTACTACCGGTAAGATTTCTTAGTACTGGCATTGCAATTCTTAATAGCAGGATCAAGGTTTCGGGAGGCTGCCTTGATAGATCTAACATTTCCCTCGACAGTTCACCAGCAATCTGGGGTCTTGGATCTTGGATCCAGAGTCCTTAATACCGGGTAAGAAGTCTGAATCCTCAATCTTGAATCCTCAATCCAGTGGAACAGCACTTTCAAGTGTTAGAAGAGCTTGAATGTTGTTTGGGTTTGGCCAGGATTGACAATTCTCAGGGCTCATGTTGACCCTTTTCCAGGAGGTAAACAAAGGTAGGTGGAATGCTCAAAAACAGTGTGTTTTACAGTATTGTCTAAAGAGGCGCAGGAACATTAGGGGTACTATGTATGTGTGTATGTGTGTATATATAGATATATACATAGGTATGTACGGTCACACACCATCTGCTACATCCACCTTTTGAGATAGAATGAATGTTGTTTCCTTTGCGAATAGAACTTGAAATGCAACTGTTTTAGGTAGAATCCCTGTTTCGAGATAGTTTTACATTGAACTTGACTGGAATGTCCTTTAGAACACCGTCCAACAAGTTCAATTTCGGACCTTTCTTATGCTACAAAAGGGCCAGAATGTTACAGCAGGTTCAATTATATGTCCTTCCAGGGGGGGAAGTATTTGGGATTCTCAGTCTACTTAGCCGAATAGATTAGTTGTGAGATTAGCTCGGCTTTGGTTGCTATGAGCATAGTTTTCAGAGGCTAGTTAGTTTCTTTAAGTTATCACACCTCTTCCTGGCATGTTCGGAGCCTCGTCATTCAATCAGTGCATTTTCACGCTGCCCAATTACCCACTTGTGCCAAACAAGACGCAGTGACAAAACACGGCAACAATGCGCAAACCGCACAGGTTGCAGTCGTGTGGCGCCATCTGCTCATCGCTGGCCATGACTTTGAAGACGGCGAAGAGGGACTGTCACGCAACCAGTCCCTGTCACTTACACATAACTCAACTTTTTCGGCAATGCCCCACAAGGGGGCTCGAGCAAAGTTGCCGTTCCGTCAAATATTGCATGACAATGGGCATACGTCGAGGCTTCTCTCTGCTAGCCTCCTTGGCTATTATTGAGCTGCGAAACTCTTCGCTTGTTCAATTCGTTCGCACGGCGAACCTTCTTCAGCAAATCAGTGACCCTTTTCTGGCAGTAGTTCCTCAGCGTGTCAGTGAGTGACTGAAACGGTATTGAATTCAATAGAAGGTTTCTTGGTGGCAGAACAGCCCATGATAGCTAATAAATGTTGGTCAATGAGGTCGCCGACGCGACAGGCAGCGGACTCATTTGGGCTTGAAGAGTCGCTTACTAAAGCATGGTCGAAACACATGTCGCTCGGAATGGCGCAGTGGTTGAGGAGGGTTTGTCCCATGTTGATAATCTCTAACACCTTTGCCAAGCAGCTTCATGACTGTGAACTTGCTCAACATGCTGTGCGACAGTGTCACTGCCTCGGGCGTTGAAAGGCCTTCCACTCAATGCCTTCCACCGCATTGAGGCATTGAGCGTGCGCCATGGCCTGGGGCTTCGGCTGCGCCCACCATGATGGCGTAAGGAATGAGGACTTCAGGTTTGATCAACGCGCCCAGAAGGACCCACATCAGCGCCTCGCGTCTCGAATGGGATGAACTCGAGCGTGCTATGTGCTGATCTTACCAAGCGAGCGCGCACCTTGCAAGAACGCACGCGACACAAGGGGCGCATTCTCAACCACACAATGGCTGGCCAAGCTGCATTCGAAGCCAAGAGGACAAGGATCGCGACTTGCAGGTACGTCACCCCTGCAGGCAGCTC